CAGGATCACTGTAGACCAGTTTGACAGGGTTTAACTGGATTACTGTAGACCAGTTTGACAGGGTTTAACTGGATCACTGTAGACCAGTTTGACAGGGTTTTATCAGATTACAGTAGAGCAATTTGACAGGGTTTAACTGGATCACTGTAGACCAGTTTGACAGGGTTTAACTGATCACTGTAGACCAGTTTGACAGGGTTTAACTGGATCACTGTAGACCAGTTTGACAGGGTTTAACTGGATCACTGTAGACCAGTTTGACAGGGTTTTATCAGATTATAGTAGAGCAATTTGACAGGGTTTAAGAGGATTATCTTGCAAAATTTTAACAGATTACCAGATATTATAAATGGATTAGCAAATAGGAAATCAGCTTAAAGTGATTAAATTTCTTTGTTTCTAGGCAAAGGTTATTAAAACAAGCTAGCTTTTCTGGCATTGTTTTCATATTGATTTCAAATTTATTGGAAACTTCTCTTTTGTTTTGAATTATAAAAAGCTGGTAATGACAGAAGTGTTACTCCATGGAATTCTCATATCTTTAGCAATGGAATATGGTATGAAAAGGCGACATACTTAGATGAAGCAGAAGTTAGATCAAGAGTAGAATGGAAGGATAGCTGATGTCAAAACTAAATTAATTTGATGATGAAGTTGGCGGGTGAAAGTCCCTTGTCGGTTTCCATGTGACCTGCCAACCGCTAGTGACACCTGGTGGCTGTGATGAATCGCAGGCTGGAACCCCGCTTCTGACATTCTACTGATCACTCCTTCTCCAGGTCTTGTTGTAAAGACAGAGCAAATCTCCTAAGACATATAATCAATTCCTCAATGTCACAAGGACTTATAAACTCAAAATGGCCACTGTTCCTACACTCAGACTGCCCCCCCCCCCCATCGGCCGATCAACATACGCCTGGTCTGGGTTGTCTGAGACACATATGTACACAGATAGCATACTTTACCTTGATATTGAGGGGTCAAAGTTCATGGTTTAATATCTGCCAATAGGAATTATCATACAATGTTTGAGCTCGTCCGACGTCCAGTAATACGGTTTTGTACTGATGTCTGTCTGGAGCGCCTGTCTAGTCATTCTACTCCTTTGTGATGGAACATCATTTCATACGGTCATGGCTCCTCAGCTCGGCTATGCTTTTGTAGTTTTAGCAAACTATTCATGAGACTATGTTTCACAAATTCTAACCTGTTGAATGTGTTTCATGTTTTAAGAATAATTTGGAAATTCAACATTTCAGTAACTTTAAACAAAGAAAAGACTTTCCTGTTTTTTATTTGTATGCTGTACACTTGAAAACCTTCACATAATTGTAAACAACTTAATATTGTCAATATCATTGGATAAAGTTTAAAGTTTTGATACTTAGAAAATAAATTCTGGTCAATCTTTTGTTTGTAAATATGTTAAGTATTTGTAATATTTCTGTTTTAATGTGGTTTTTGTTTGAAAGAAAAAAGGTGTTTCAAAGCATATAAGTTATAAGTCTAAGGCCATGTTTTTTAGTGTATGAATAAGTTCCATTTTGTGAATAATAATATGCCTAGGAACCCGACACGTATGGTGATGAATTGTGATATATGGATATGAAGACATGGATATTGTTTGTTATGTAAAACTCTACATCACTGTCAGAAGCAGACGGACGAACGTGACGCTGCTTGGGCCTCCGAGGGTTAACGCAATCTTGGTGTTGTGCATCTGTTACAGAGATGTCAGTCATACCATTCTTTATTCTTGACTTAAACAAACTCTCAGCAACAGCTTAGCACAACATGCTACCATAAGTGTATTTACTTAAACCACAAACCACACATATATAGTCCATCTTTCAAGCACAATTCTGTTGACTTTTTTACAGATAATACACTTAAATCAGAGATATTCTGTACCTGATTCACAGAGTTAAAAAAAATTGATATGTAAAAAAAAAGCTTGATTACATGATAAAGTATAACTATGCCTCAGGGTTTCAATGACGACTTGAAGATTATATTTATATATTAATGATAATTGATGTATGCATGGTTGTCAAGGTTACTGTTTTAATATTGTTAGTAGTAATAAGGGTAGTTGTCAAGTTTACAGTGATACTAGATATACAGGTAGTTGTCAAGTTTACAGTGATACTAGACATACAGGTAGTTGTCAAGTTTACAGTGATACTAGACATACAGGTAGTTGTCAAGTTTACAGTGATACTAGACATACAGGTAGTTGTCAAGTTTACAGTGATACTAGATATACAGGTAGTTGTCAAGTTTACAGTGATACTAGATATACAGGTAGTTGTCAAGTTTACAGTGATACTAGATATACAGGTAGTTGTCAAGTTTACAGTGATACTAGATATACAGGTAGTTGTCAAGTTTACAGTGATACTAGATATACAAGTAGTTGTCAAGTTTACAGTGATACTAGATATACAGGTAGTTGTCAAGTTTACAGTGATACTAGATATACAGGTAGTTGTCAAGTTTACAGTGATACTAGATATACAGGTAGTTGTCAAGTTTACAGTACTAGATTACAGGTAGTTGTCAAGTTTACAGTGATACTAGATATACAGGTAGTTGTCAAGTTTACAGTGATACTAGATATACAGGTAGTTGTCAAGTTTACAGTGATACTAGATATACAGGTAGTTGTCAAGTTTACAGTGATACTAGATATACAGGTAGTTGTCAAGTTTACAGTGATACTAGATATACAGGTAGTTGTCAAGTTTACAGTGATACTAGACATACAGGTAGTTGTCAAGTTTACAGTGATACTAGACATACAGGTAGTTGTCAAGTTTACAGTGATACTAGACATACAGGTAGTTGTCAAGTTTACAGTGATACTAGATATAGAGGTAGTTGTCAAGTTTACAGTGATACTAGATATACAGGTAGTTGTCAAGTTTACAGTGATACTAGATATACAGGTAGTTGTCAAGTTTACAGTGATACTAGAGTAAGTTACAATAGTGAATGTGTAGAGATAACAAATACACAGATATCAGTGATTTTGATAGTCAAGATAGAGAAAGTGAATGTAAAAATACGAATATAGATTTGTTATTATAGAGGTAATGAGTATAGAGATAATGAATATAGAGATAGTGAATATAGAGATGATGAATATAGAGATAGTGAATATATCGATAATGAATAATGAATATAGAGATAGTGAATATAGAGATAGTGAATATAGAGATAATGAATACAGAGATAATGAATATAGAGATAATGAATATAGAGATAATGAATATAGAGATAATGAATATAGAGATAGTGAATATAGAGATAATGAATATAGAGATAATGAATATAGAGATGATGAATATAGAGATAGTGAATATAGAGATAATGAATATAGAGATGATGAATATAGAGATAATGAATAATGAATATAGAGATAATGAATACAGAGATAATGAATATAGAGATAATGAATATAGAGATAGTGAATATAGAGATGATGAATATAGAGATAATGAATATAGAGATGATGAATATAGAGATAATGAATAATGAATATAGAGATAGTGAATATAGAGATAATGAATACAGAGATAATGAATACAGAGATAATGAATATAGAGATGATGAATATAGAGATAATGAATATAGAGATAATGAATATAGAGATAATGAATACAGAGATAATGAATATAGAGATAGTGAATATAGGGATACTGGATATATAGATAATGAATATAGAGATAATGAATATAGAGATAGTGAGATAATGAATATAGAGATAAAGATTATAGAGATGATGAATATAGAGATGATAAATATAGAGATAGTGAATTTAGAGATAATGAATACAGAGATAATGAATTTAGAGATAGTGAATAGAGAGCCAGTGAATATAGAGATAATGGATATATAGATAATGAATATAGAGATAGTGAATATAGATATAATGAATATAGAGAAAGTGAATAGAGAGCCAATGAATATAGAGAAAGTGAATAGAAAGATAGTGAATATAGAGAAAGTGAATTGAGAACCTTCATATGTTTATAAAATTGTATAATGTTTGAGGAAAACCATGGTAGCCTTCATGGATTCATAATATTGTATGTTGTGTGAGGAAAATGGTAGTAACCTCATTGGGTTTATCATGTTGTATGTTAATATTCAGAGGAAGGAGTTATAGATCTATACTTAGGACTTAGGACATCAGTCGTAACCTTGGTAGATTTATACTTTTGTATTGTATTTTGTGGTTTAAGGTGGTGGTTGTGGGGAGGGGGGGGGGGAGGATTATAGATCTGTACATTGGAAAACAATCGTAACCTTGGTAGATTTATACTTTTGTATTGTATTTTGTGGTTTAAGGTGGTGGTTGTGGGGAGGGGGGGGAGGATTATAGATCTGTACATTGGAAAACAATCGTAACCTTGGTAGATTTATACTTTTGTATAGTATTTTGTGGTTTAAGGTGGTGGTTGTGGGGAGGGGGGAGGATTATAGATCTGTACATTGGAAAACAATCGTAACCTTGGTAGATTTATACTTTTGTATCGTATTTTGTGGTTTAAGGTGGTGGTTGTGGGGAGGGGGGGGAGGATTATAGATCTGTACATTGGAAAACAATCGTAACCTTGGTAGATTTATACTTTTGTATCGTATTTTGTGGTTTAAGGTGGTGGTTGTGGGGAAGGTGGGGGGGAGGGAGAGGATTATAGATTTGTATATAGGAAAACGATCGTAACCTTGGTAGATCTATACTGTTGTATAATCCCTGTAGAATACAAGCAGAAAAGACATCAATATTTTTGTGGTGAAATTATTGACTTTACAAGTAGATGGTCTGTGAAATGATGTTTCTCTGCTGTTCTGGTCGCTAGAAGCTAGTTGAGATTCAGTCAATTTTATTGATGGATCCTTCGCTGTTTTCCTACACTACACTATAGCCTATAATGTAGGCCATTGGTCTGCCATCCTTCCAGTTCTGTCACAGGATTACTGTCTCTTTGTTACAGGGATGAAGATGCAATTGAGAAGAAAGCGCCTTCCAAAAATGAGGAGCATATCTTGGCTACAAGCATCTCCCCTTCAGGCCGGTACCTGGCTGTATGTGACAACGTAAAACAGCTCCATCTATATGACGCCAAGACTGAATGGACCCGCCACAGCAGAAGGTTAGTACAGTAACACGACTAGGCATTGTTCCCTTTATTTACATACAATATCATATGGCTTTGTCCATGACGATATCGCTTCGTTTGTGCCAGAGTCCCTGGACTTGGGTCGCCCCATCGCTAAACAATACTGCTTTGTTAACACATATAGCCATATCAAAGAGTGGCATCCTTGAGCTCCAGTTTTGCCCCGGAAGCAGAGAGAAGCTGAAACCATGGCTGCATTGCCTGTACTCAGTGGACCGCGAAATGTGTAATAACATTGTGGTATTGGACATAGCTAGCTCCACTCACAATAAGTACATATTAACACCAGTCAAGCGTTTACTTAATGATGCTCCTTTGAACAGCTTGAACAGCGGAAAAGTCACCTGCTATTTAAAGATCACTGGGCTTTGTATTTACCAGCTGGGTGGACTGATGAGTGCATACTGATGTATACATGTTATACTGCCTACCTGGAAAAATGTGTCATTTTAAATTGAGACAGAATAGTTGTTATTCAAATACATCTCTGTCTCGTGTCAATCAAACAATGGCTGTTTGAGAGTTAGCAATCATCATGCATTATATAAGTATTGCGATTTGTTGAATTTGTGGAATAAATTACTTGTCTCGAGCAGTTGATTATCTGACAGTGTCTATTGTGTCATTAACATGTGTAATGATGAGCTGACACATACACCACCTACTCATTACCGCTGATGTTTGCCATGTTTCAAATTAACCAGATACATAGTTGTTGTATGGGGGAGGGGGGCTGATAATGTTGTAAAAGGTCTTGGTAAGACATGTAAATGATAACATGGCTGGTAAACAAGATGTGATACTTTGTGTGATATAGTCTATAGTCCTGGAACATGTGACTGTGTGTGATATAGTCCTGGAACATGTGACTGTGTGTGATATAGTCCTGGAACATGTGACTGTGTGTGTGATATAGTCCTGGAACATGTGACTGTGTGTGTGATATAGTCCTGGTAAATGTGACTGTGTGTGATATAGACCTGGAACATGTGACTGTTTGTGTGATATAGTCCTGGAACATGTGACTGTGTGTGTGTGTGTGTGATATAGTCCTGGAACATGTGACTGTGTGTGATATAGTCCTAGAACGTGTGACTGTGTGTGATATAGTCCTGGAACATGTGACTGTGTGTGTGTGATATAGTCCTGGAACATGTGACTGTGTGTGATATAGTCCTGGAACATGTGACTGTGTGTGATATAGTCCTGGAACATGTGACTGTGTGTGTGATATAGTCCTGGAACATGTGACTGTGTGTGATATAGTCCTGGAACATGTGACTGTGTGTGTGATATAGTCCTGGAACATGTGACTGTGTGTGATATAGACCTGGAACATGTGGCTGTTTGTGATATAGTTCTGGAACATGTGACTGTGTGTGTGTGTGTGTGTGATATAGTCCTGGAACATGTGACTGTGTGTGTGTGTCCTGGAACATGTGACTGTGTGTGTGATATAGTCCTGGAACATGTGACTGTGTGTGATATAGTCCTGGAACATGTGACTGTTTGTGATATAGTCCTGGAACATGTGACTGTGTGTGTGATATAGTCCTGGAACATGTGACTGTTTGTGATATAGTCCTGGAACATGTGACTGTTTGTGATATAGTCCTGGAACATGTGACTGTTTATGATATAGTCCTGGAACACGTGACTGTTTGTGATATAGTCCAGGAACATGTGACTGTTTGTAATATAGTCCTTGAACATGTGACTGTGTGTGATATAGTCCTGGAACATGTGACTGTGTGTGTGTGTGTGATATAGTCCTGGAACACGTGACTGTTTGTGATATAGTCCTGGAACATGTGACTGTGTGTGTGTGTGTGTGATATAGTCCTGGAACATGTGACTGTTTGTGATATAGTCCTTGAACATGTGACTGTGTGTGATATAGTCCTGGAACATGTGACTGTGTGTGATATAGTCCTGGAACATGTGACTGTGTGTGATATAGTCCTGTGTGTGTGTGTGTGATATACACATGTGACTGTGTGTGATATAGTCCTGGAACACTGTGTGTGTGTGTGACTGTGTGTGTGTGTGTGTGTGTGTGATATAGTCCTGGAACACGTGACTGTTTGTGATATAGTCCTGGAACATGTGACTGTGTGTGTGTGTGTGTGTGTGATATAGTCCTGGAACACGTGACTGTTTGTGATATAGTCCTTGAACATGTGATTTGAAGAATGATTGATGATTGTCTTTTAAAGATTGATTTAGGAATGTTTTATGCAGAATGATAGAGGTATGCCTTATGAAAAGAGATTGAGGAATGTGTTTGAAAGAAATTTGAGGAGCGTCTTGTAAAATTTTATGAAAGTCTGAGACATCACATAGAGACAGGAAGAGTCACAGAGACATCAACCGGGTAACCAATGAACAAACCAACTGACCAATCAAGGTAGCTGACCTCTTGTCATTTATTTGTATATCTAGAATCACACACATGATGTTGAAAAATTAGAAAATGCAAACTGACAAATTAATATTTACTTATCTCAAAATCAATCTAGACACACCAGATAACCTGTGCCTTTACTACTCAACAGATGTCAGTAGATTTAGCTGAAACTGAAGTGGATCGCTTGTAATGAAAAACCAACGCTTGAGGCAGGAAATTTGATATTTACCTGCAAATTTCATTAAATTTTCAATAAGGTATATGATTCTATGAGTGGTACCTATGTATGTTGTCCTGTGTCTACTTCCGTTGACAGGAAGAGATTTTACACTCTGCAGGATTAATTTCCACGATAAACTCTATGTGGGTTTCTGTCAGAAAATATGATCTCCAATGCACAGCGTCGTTATTACTAGAAAAATGGGAAGTGTATTGCAGGATTATCTAAAAATATCTCAAACTGTACTTGGTGTAACCTTGTAAACAATTTACTGGATGTCTGTATAATTTTCGTTGAATAGGTCCAATGTTAGTCATTTTTCTGGGAGTAACAGTAGACTTTACTAATCTTGGGCTTTGTTAATTTGTATATTATATTTGATTTATGGCATATATATAACTACATAGATAAGATTATCTTTTTTTTGTTTATTTTAATTGGATAAAATTGTGAAGTCCTACATGTTACGTGCTGCTGGATAATTAACTGCTCCTGACTTGAACAGATAATTTGGCTAGCATGTCAAGAATACTTATTAAATTTAATTTACAGAATAGCTGGTTACTTTCATGGGGATGAGATCTTTGCTATCTCGTGGTACATTAAAATGATTGTGATTATTTAGTCTGTGAGATAAATGAGACACATGCATATAAGATGTTCTTTTACATTCACTGTGCGAAATTTCAATTTATAAAATACATTTCATTCCTTTTAAAGAAAAAATTGCAGAATTTCTCTGTGTGAAATTACCAGCCAAACAGTAGTTTATTTGTAAGCCGGACTTTCCGGAGAAAAACCACCAACCTATTTTAGTGTCTGAGGACTGTCCCATGAAGGCCTTGAACCTACAACCCAAAGGTGGAGGGCAATTGACAAAGACGGTCAGACCCCTCAAACACTCCACCAGTGCGTACCCCTCCACATTTCTATGTATTGCACAATTAATAAGTAGAACTTTCAACAAAATAACAAAAATACAGCATAAATTGAAATACATAAAAAAAATGAACACCACTTACAGTAATGGAAATGTTGAGACAAGCAATGATTTTATTATTGGATTGGAAAATCTACAATTAAAGTAAAATTGAGTCTGTGTGAAATCTTAAAGATAATTGAATAAAACGAAAACTGTTTTTTTTCTGTGATGTGGTCATCAAAAATCATGGAAGCCAACTTTACCTGCTATTCCAGTCAAGGTCTAGAACCATGGCAACCAAAGTTTTCCTGATAATCAAGTCAAGATTAACAACCATGGTAACCAAACATTTTCTGATAATCTAGTCCGGTTTCAGAAACGTGGCAACCAAGATTTACCTATTAATCCAGTCAGGGTTCAGAATCATGGCAACCAAGATTTACCTATTAATCCAGTCAGGGTCCAGAACCATGGCAACCAAGATTTACCTATTAATCCAGTCAGGGTCCAGAACCATGGCAACCAAACTTTACCTATTAATCCAGTCAGGGTTCAGAATCATGGCAACCAAGATTTACCTATTAATCCAGTCAGGGTTCAGAATCATGGCAACCAAGATTTACCTATTAATCCAGTCAGGGTTCAGAATCATGGCAACCAAACTTTACCTATTAATCCAGTCAGGGTCCAGAACCATGGCAACCAAACTTTACCTATTAATCCAGTCAGGGTCCAGAACCATGGCAACCAAACTTTACCTATTAATCCAGTCAGGGTTCAGAATCATGGCAACCAAGATTTACCTATTAATCCAGTCAGGGTTCAGAACCATGGCAACTAAACTTTACCTATTAATCCAGTCAGGGTTCAGAACCATGGCAACCATAGTTTTTCTGATAGTCCAGTCAGGGTTTACACCCACAGAAACCCAGCAATTCCTGCTAATCCAGTCAGGGTCAAGAACCATAGTAACTTTACTTTTCCATTTTATCCAGTCAAGGTCCACTTATTTTTTTGGTCCTACAATGTGATTAAGGTACAGATTATTTGTTTTGATAGTGTTTCTCATTATAAAGTGCTAGTTCTGTGTCTGACTGACATGTCATCATCAGACCACATCTGTTATTATTATATAAGTGAATATATGTTCTGTAAGTATTTGATTAATTATGCAGTCAAACTTTTTTACTTTGTCTTGTCTGATGTTGGTCTAAAAGGTTTAGCTTCAGGGAAAAACTCCTACATTTATGAATTAGGGACAAAATATTTGTTACTTTTGAAAACAAATTTCTAGTGATTCACAGCTCTATATTAAATTGTGCATGTTGTGGTACAATCCAGAAAACTTTTTTTTCTGTTCCTGTTTTTCATCTACAAACATTGAGCTACAGAAGTTAGATTTAGGAGGAAAGCCATCCAAATTT